CAGTGAGACTCTCACACGCACAGGCTCAGGCTCTGTTAATCTGTTTTCTGATGAGCCTGGGAGATGAGATGGAGAAGACTACAGAGAGGATACCACAGAGGCAGTATTTCTAGCACAGGCCATTTAGAAAAGACACATGTAAATAAAATGCCATTATTCCTGTCAAAACTTTGGCTTATTCCATGTACAAACTTGTACCAATTTAAAAATATAGCTATAGTGAGGTCATTTCTAAACTCACCTTTCACAGCTGAAGATGTTACTGACCTCAGTTATTCTTTGCCATTTCAGTGCTGGAGATTACTGTAACCTCTGTCCCTTCAGCAGAGCTGTTCACCAGGTTAGTCACCAGGTTATTTCAAACCATTGACATAAAATAATATAAGCCCATTTATTTAAATTCTAAATTAATTCCCCTGACTTTTTCTGAAACAGACTGCTCCATTATTGGTGAGAAAAGTAAACAGCTAGGAGAAGACATCATCTGAACTAGTAGCAGCTTTTTGCAGAATGAATGTCAAAAGGTACAGCCAAAAGGTATGAGCGTAAGCCTGTTACTGATGCATGTTATGTTACAGGCACTTCAATTTAAATATACTAAGAGATAGATCAAGTTAAATCCAAACAAACCACAATGAGGACAGTCATACACATCCTTGCCATCAGATTCAGGCTGTTTAAGTAGCTTTCCTCTCTCAGCTAAAATGTGAGAGGTAATCAGGTCGGGACTGGCCCATTACTTGCTACAGAATGCAATGGCTCTGGAGTACAGAGTGGCACCTATTGCTTACCAGGGGATAGTGTGGCCTGAGTTTACCAGTGTATCGATAACCAGACCAAGGATTTGTGTTAACGTCACCTTCCAAGGTCCAAGAGGAAACTTCACGCTTAGCTTTTTCATCTTCTGAAAAGAGAAAAAAAAATTAAAAATTTTGCAGCAGCAAAATCAGTCCTACTAAGAGTAAGGACCGTAGAGTCCAGAAAGTGATCTAGAAGTACGTAAGTCTACATTTTACTCTTTCTGGCATTTTAGATACTGATATATGAACTGATATATACTGCCAACTCTATCTTTATTCAATAGCAAACTGAGGAATGTCAGGGCAGCAGTACTGAATGTACAAACAAAGTGGTGTAATTAAGCCACTCTTCATTTGTAGTTCTAAAACACAGTTCTGTGCTTGTTTTCATTCTTGGGGAAAAGCATATTTCTACAGAAACACTTGTTATCCCTTCAACTAATACTTTTGCCCTATAGATGAATGTTCCTCTTCCGTGGTTTCTCTTAGCATTCAGTGACAGAAGTGACCTGCGGCGGGAAGGAGGGTATCCAACTGTTAGTTCCAATACACAGAGCCTGCTACCCCTCCAGATCTGACGGAGAGAGTGAGGGTGCTGCCACCTCTGCATTTCAGGACACGCAGAGCGTGCACCTCATGAGATGGTCCCACTCTGCTGGAGGTTCCCACCTTTCTCAACCTTGTGAAATTCATGTCTGATGCGGTCCGATGACTGACTTCATTCACAAATAACAGTCCTAACAGGGCAGACTGAAGGTGTTTACATAAAGGATTGAAGCAAGTAGATTGTGAGCATTACCAACAGGAAAAATATTTACTCAGAAAGAGGAGGCAAGGGTTAAGAAAGAGCATGGTAGCATTAATCTTTAACTCTTAACCTGACAATTAAGTTTGTTTTCTCTTTTTATATCTCACAAGAATGAAGAGATGGCAAAAGGTCTGCCACAGCAAGCCCTAATGTGAGTTCCTCAGAGTCTCTGTGGCTGACATCTGAGCCATCTGCTCACATGACACTCAGTTTAGATGACCTGCTGAGAAATAATAATTTAAAAATCCAAAGTTTAAAGAAAGCAATATTTTGGATTACTTTGAGTTGCTTCAGTAGTTTGTTGCATTGAGATCTTGAGGGCTATCAGAACCAAGCCAGCTCAGCAGTTATCCAGGAAGCCAACAAGATCATGGATTTAGCGGAATCAAAAAATTGCTGTCAGATACACAATGGCATTAGAAGACAGCACCAGAGGATTACTAGAACTACTAACAAAACAGTTTCATATCCATTCAGGGACAAAATAATGAGATACAGAATACAAGTGTGAACTATGAGACCCCCACACTGGGAAGGCAGAAAGACAGAAAAGATTTGTAATTGTCTGTGCTACTCCAACCTATTAACCATGCAACATTTACCATGGGAAAAGGAGTTTTACTGAGTTTCAGGAAAGGAGAAGGTAAATGAGGATTTGAATTTCTGCCATGCCACTTACTTTTTAATCCCACCTTACTTTTCAGCAGGGCTTGATGAAGATGGGCAGGGGAATGGGGGTGAGGAAGCAAGGGGGGGGCAGAACTGGTGTCTGTTCTCTCTTTTTGTTTGGTTGGTTTTAAACTCATGGATTATTTTTACTATTCCAGGTAGAGAGAATCTACTACTAGTATTTCTGTGCCAGAGCTACCAGCTGTAACTAAGGCATACAGGTACTCCTGTAACCTTCAACTAAACTCAGCAAAATCCTAGCTATGATACATCCTCTTATCAATGGCTGCATGGGTGCACAAAAGCATTTTCCTTTTTTTTTTTTAGCTTCTCCAAAGGGGTACACCCCAAATGTACAGAACAGCTGAACCCCAACTGGCTCGCTTGCATTCCAGCAAGTGTCTAATCACGAGGACTTCACAAGAACCTTTCCCACTTCACTGCCTTTTACTACATTAGCCATCAAAACGCTACGATGGAACAAGCCTGGCGATGCCTTACAGTAGTGGTTTATTATTCTCCTTGCCCTTTATTTCAGCATCCCTCTTTCTCTGTTCATATACCCGGCAATGGAGTTCAAGGAATACTTCATACAAATAGAAAAGGGAACAGAAACAGAGATTTCTTACCACTGTCTCTGAAATTTTACATAGATCTTTAGATTACAGGAAGTGGACAAAATTTCAGATATGCAGAATTCAGTGGCAGATATCTTGGAAAAATCCATACCATTCTTAGACACAGAATCACAGAACAGTTGAGGTTAGAAGAGACCTCTGGAGGTCATCCAGTCCAATCCTCTGCTCAAGCAGGGCCACCTAGAGCCAGCTGCACAGGACAAAGCAAATTCAAAACAATATTTAAATGGATTTTTAAAAAATGTACTTACTTGCTTTCTTGTGTAATAGCTTGTGAGTGGCCCAGCTTCCCTTAAAGCATTCCTAGAATTACAAACAAAAAAATAATTTTTTTAGTAGCATCATCCTAGACAGACATGCCATCTCCACAAAATAGAGAAGCAACTGCAGTAAAAAAAAAAAACAAAACACCAAAACTGAAAGACTGACTTTATTAACCCTTGGAGCAACACGCAGCAAATACTACTGTAACTGCTAGTCCTAACAACAGAAAAATACTATATTCAACAACTTACAAGCCAGTAGAGACAGGAAGCATAGCCAAACAGGCACACCCATCACAATGAAACACACTGATCTAATCCCATCTACTAAATATTGTCCCCTTATCGTTTTAATGAGTAACTAAACACCATGGTTGCTCCAGGTTGGCTGAAACACTGTGCTGTTCATGGTAACACAGAGATAACACGGTCTATCTCCACACCAGATCTTACAGCATTGCAGTGGGCAAGATGGTCCTTCCTCCATTGGCTCCTACAAGAAGCCACCCCCTCCTGCTAATTGCGCCCTTTCTGCCTCCTTCCCCAGCACAGGAAAGCAACAGAGGCCAATCACTGTGATCACAGGGGAACAAATGGAAAAGATTAAAGGGGGGCAGGGAAGCAAGGGCTACTGAATGGAAGTAGGAAAAAATACAGAAAGTTGAAATGGAAATCAAGGAAAGAGTGAATGTGAAGAAGTTTGTGTTTTACTCTTTCCAAGGAGAAAGAGAGCAGTTCATGCAACTAACAATGAATCAGCAATAGGGCAGATGGAAATGGCTAGCAGCTGGAGAAGAATAAAGAAAGATGAAGATGAAGGAAAGACATGAAAAAAGGAGATATTTAAGTAGAAAAGCTGCAGAAGGCAGCATTAAAGGTGATCCTTTAAGGTTCTAATTAGGAAATTACTTGGGTTTCTAACAGAAAGTCTAATTCAATGGTTATGTGCACCCAAAACAACCATTACGAAACAGCTAATTCCAATCATTTACAAAACCAGCTGAATTTCTGAAGAAAGAGGCAGGAAGCAAACTGTTTTCCTTTATAAGGAAAGACAATACTAATGCTGAATCATCACCACCAAACTACCATCCAGAGCCAACAACTGATTCAACCTAATGTATACAACACTCAACCAGTCCAAGACAACAGATCTGTAAACTAAGCCCAGTGTATAACATTCTGCCCCTGCTTCCCAGTTGCTATCAAGCAGTCTTAACTGTCTACTCCTGTAGAGCCGCCTTCTCCCCATTTTCTCATTAGTCTTGCAAGCAGTAGTTACCAAATTGTACCCACAAGACCGCAGTAAAGCAGTGCACAAGCAGGCCTACGTTCAAAGAGACCCCGTTGTGTGCCATTTCCCTTGTTAACAAAACCAGTTGTTTGTTGTCTTCTCCTATGCCATATACTTGAAATTGCCACATTCTCTGGACTGGCACTTGACATGCCATGGTACTACGTAATGGTCTGGGCAACGAGAGGCTTTGAAACCAAGACTTTAGATTACCAAAGAGAACATCTTTTTGAAGAAGCAGCAGCAGGTTTTGCTGTCACACTCGTATAACCCGCTGCATACACAGACCTTTGCGCTGCACTAGTATCTGTTTTCTGTCAGAAAGCAGGGAGAAAAGGAGCGGGTTTTAACCCGCTTAAATTATTTTTTTTAATAAAGGCTTATTTTAAGAAAAAATAAAAAAGCAAACAAAAACCAATTTCAAGGACACTGGAAGCATCAATATGGTTTTAATTGCCTTTTAAAGACCAGGATGGCCTCTGTTCTGAAGCAGGATTACACAACTAAGGACTTAGAGCAGCTACCAAGTCTGCAAATCTAGAATCCACTTCTTGGAATATAAAGGAACATTTGGGGAATGAAGACATAATTCAGCTGCGGTAATTACTGTAGTTCATTCTCTCCTTCCCCATGAAATTTTGAGGTGTATTCTCCAATGCCGTGCCTTTCTCCTATGCCAACAGTCTTTCCTCTTTGCCAGCCTGTAACCAGAAGACACCAGGTGAACACTGCACCACTGGCAGTATCACAACCTCACAGGCTCCATTTTGGCTTTTTATTTCCTACAGCTGTAAACAACCTAAGAGGATCTTCCATAAGGCTGCCATATGTCTGAGTTTTCCCAAATATGTTTCCCAGATTTTACTTGCCCTCTATTTCCAGAGGAGCAGCAGCTCCATCAGAACTACTACAGCGTAGCTCCAAACAAGCTGCTGCACACCGGGACACCCCAGACACGTGCACTATATGCACATCGATCAACTGCAATTAGTACACACAGCAAGTCCGAAGCATTTTTGTGAGCACAGTCCATCACACACGCAGCGTACAACCAATGAAGATCTCTGTCTGGGTCTGACACTTTTGGAAGGCACTCAAAGGATATGCTGCACATCCACCTACGACCCGTGTATTTTGTGTAGGATCAGTCATATGCTTCCTGTAAGCACTGGACTTAACCGGGTACACATGAACTATTTATATTCAACAACCTACTGCACAAGCACCACATTGCACATGCCTGCAGAACTCTGCCTTGGCAATTCCAGATAAAAATATGGCAGCTGTCATCTCACAGGTTGGAGAATCATAGCTCTGGCGACAAAGCACTAGTAATGTACCACTGCATACTGCAAACACCCTCACCTTCTATACAGCAGACTTCCTGGCAAGCCACATAAGAAAGCCACTCTTTCTCTCCATCTGGGCCACTTACTGGAGAATTTTCTGCTTTTTGCAGAGCCTTCTCCTCTCAGCCTTCTGCTGAGACATTTACTTCAATCTTCCTATTACTGTTCCTGCCTCTAATGATTCTTCCATGTTCCTATGCCATGTACAGATCAGGATAGAAAATTTTCAATTATTAAATAAACAAAATAAAAAATATCCAGGGTGATTTTTAATATTAAAATGAAGAAATGAAATAATTTTCTCTCTGATATGGTTAAAAAAGGAACACATGACCTCACATTGCTATATTTGAAAACATTAATTAGCTTCAGGGGGAAAGTACACAGGAATAATATGAATTTGGCTTCAAGTTTCTTGGAAGACTTCCTGGATTTAATTTCAAGCACCACATTATCCATTAGTATGTCTGACATTAATAGCCCCACCTTTCTCACCTAAAGCATTTTTCTTTTTATGTAGCAATCAAGACAGACTTGGAAACACTGAAGAGGACTGTACAAGAAGAGAGGTCAAATGTATGACCAAAAAAAGGCAGGGGGTGGGGGTAATCCTCAATTTGTTTAGAGTAATCTTAAGTACAACTATTCTATCAGCAAGAAAAATCCAACCATGATTTTTAAACAGAGACCATCAGCATATTTAAACCTTTAATGACATTTCTGGCTTCAAGCCATTCTTAAGCCAGTCCCATTGATTCTGTGTTTAAAGACAAGCTCAATGCAGTGTTCACCAGAACCTGTGCATTTACCAAAAGGTAACCAAAGGCACAATCAGCATTACAATCTGGAAAGATTCCTCTTGGATAACCTCGTGGAAGTCATGTTATTTCTCTAAATGATTTTCTACCTTAAGGACTCAGCCCAGCATCTATTTACTGGTTGAAATATTGACAGAATCATGCAGCATAGCAGAATTTGTTTTACAGCAGAGTGCATTTTCACTATGAACACAATGATCACTACCAAATACCTTAGGTGGTTGTTTATTTTTTTTTAAATCAACCACTGAAAGAATAAAACAAAATCCTTTAAAACAGTTATTGAGCTACTTAGCAAGGAATTTTTTTTCCTATGTTTCTTGTCATCTTTACAGTAATAACAGGGAGCTTCTTACTCTTTTGGTTCATGTATCCATGCAAAAAAGCACAGCCGACTGCAAATTCCAGAAGAGAAAAGGGTGCTAAATCAACCAAGATTAGGATATAACTACACTGCATACCTCTGTATAGCACAGACATAACCAAACTAGCTTTAAATAACCTACCCAAGTACAGGAAGCTATGCAGGCACCACAGCACCGAATTCAAAGCACACTCATTGATTGTTTCTGAACTGCCTTTGCAAGGTAGCAGCTCATTTAAAGTTAGCTCTGCCAACTCTCTGTCAGCAATTTCCAGCCTTAAGGCTCACACTCTTCTTCAGGCTTCCCTTCACCTTCGGGTACTGCCGCTTTATACAGCCTGGCATTTGACACTGTAAATACACCTATCAGCAAGTACACAAAAACCGCCCCACTGCACAGTTACTGAGAACTCCAATTCCACAAAATAGCGTCGAACTTCCACAAAATTACCCCTCTCCATCCACTCTGCTCATTTAGAGCCACTGTGATGAATTTCCAAAAAAACCCCTATTCTACAGAAAAGAAAACAACAACAACAACGGACAGCTAGAATCAAACTGTGGGGACCGACTGGCTGTCTCTTTGCATGTCATTATACCCTGAAGTGTAATGGGCAAGCATCTAGGAAACAGCGCCAAGCAGTACACTGCATTTAAAAATATTCTGAGCAATTTTTTTAATAGAATTTAAAAACATCCTTTGGAATGTAAAATTGTCTTGAGCTTAATCTCAGATCATGTAGTTTTGCTTAATGAGAACTCGTTTTTAACCACGAAGGTATGCAAAACAGAAGACAAAAAAAGGTTAAGTACAGCATTTAGCTTAAGAAAAATATCACATTATCAGCGATATAGATGTTTAATACAATACAGATTAGCCGTACATTTTATCCATAAACACAAGTATGTTGACGAATACAATTGTTAATACATTTGATGTCAACATAAAACAGTTGCCTCTCTTTAGCATGCTGAACCCTATTCTTCTAGGTGTGGTATCAGCCCACAGAGACAGCCTCTGCACTGAAACACTCAGTACAAAATTCCCAAACTAGCCTAAGCACCACACACGACTAGTAAGTTTCTCAGAAGAGCTGAATACGCATTTTTTCAGATTCAAATCCAAGGGACACACCTACATGCAGCACCTTGTATCAGCAACATTGGCTTTCTCCTTATCTAAGCCTGATCTCACCCAGAGACTCCTGGGTCCCA